CACTTAGGGATTTAAATTATTACAAGTTAGTTGAGCCTCATACCATATCTCTGAATTGCAGGGCCCCTCCTACTTAACTAATAAACCTAAATAAAATCTAAATAAATGTTCATCATCCCGAAGAGACGTTCCAATTCATTGGAGCCTAATTCTTTGGATGAACAAAATCTTCGATTCAGTGGCAATTTTTTTCTCAGTATAGTTTATGTATTTCCAGAACTGGAGGACCATAAACGCGTCCTCGGCTTTGATCTAAGTTTTCTGCTGATCCCGGCAGGGATTAAGGACCCGCTGATGATCCCCGAGGGAAGTAATTCGCCCAGTTGGATTACGTTTGTGAACGTTGCATCGGCGAGTTTGCGTCCACTGCCAAGTTCATCGGCCGTTGTAATTACGGCGTCACCTCTCGGCAAGTTTCCCGATTCGTCGGCCACCCTGGAAATTCGCACTTTGATCTCCATCGCGTAGATAAGTGCCCAGGTCGGGACGTGCGGCGGCGTATAATGCCGTATAACGACGTATAATGCCGTATAACGACGTATAACGACGCATAACGACGCAAACGATTAAAGGAGACCGGAATTATAGCGGCCTAACCCCATACCGTAAACAAGTCGTATTCAATGCGGTATAAACACTCGCGAGGCTAATTGCAAGATGGCGGATTAACCCGTTCGAGCCACTCAAACTCAGCTCTTATGTATCTTACAAGGAAGGTATCCCAGGTCGATCTCTCCGAATTAATTTCTTTTATAATATGTTATGGTATAATGGCGGCGTATAATGCCGCGTAGAACAAGAACACAATATTTTTTAACCAATCCACCTGGAAAAGCTTTCTCATAACGAGAAATGAAAAATATAATTTTTTCTCAATTAATAAGAAATAAAATTCTATATATTCAGTAGTATGGAATTAACAGCTGCAGTTGCATTTGGTGGTGACCTCATGTCGCATAAACGTGCAGTGTCCAATTATGCACGAGTTGTATCAAATTTCTTAAGTATCCTTCACGCGTGTCCTATTCGACTTCATGTACTTTTTTTTTCCTTTTTATTCGAGGCTTATGAGGACGTTTTTTGTAGTTGCAAAACACGACGGGAGGAAATCGAGCAGGCATTAAATTTCCGGACAAGCGGTGGGATTTTTCATTTCCATTTTCCCCTTTTCCAAAATGATATCTAGACCACCCTGTGTATGATATTCTCAACTAGGGAATGTATGCTCAATTGCAGATGTGCCTCAATTGAACGAGCCTATTGTTCGGTCTCAAGTGACGTCACGTCTCCATGTTAACGCATTATGCGTTTCAACGTTAAATTGGCTTAATTGAAATACTGGGCCAGTCGTATACTGGCCACCTACCAGTGTCATTAAACAATGTCTATTATTTATTGCAGGGAAATACACGTCTTAAAAATTCATCCGGACCTTATCCTGCAGAAATATACAAATTTCCAATTTTTCCAATTTTTCATTTTCGCCAAAGATTTTTTATTTTGTTCCACCCTGCAAAAAAAACGTCACGTTTTCTCTATTGCGTAATAAATCCGCAGGTACACGCGGCTAGTTCGGCAGGTGAAACGAAATGAAACGATCGAGGCTATTTTTGATCCTGCGACCTGGTGACGTGCGTTGTGTGTTTTTTTCATTTTTTACCACGCGTGTATTTTTCCTCCAAATTTCATAGACCGGCTTATCTGGCGAACTCGAATCCGCCGACACGTGTATTCGCAGCCGGAACAGAGGGATATGCGTTTTTTTTCTTTTTTTTTTTTAATATTTTTCAACGAGTATCCTCAAGCCTCTCGAAATGTTTCCTCTTAATAATCTCCTATGAGTCTATATTTCCCGGAGGAGCATAAATATTTATCCGGTAGTATTGAAAGGAGCCATTTAATTGCTTAACTTTTGCTTTCCTAAGTTCGCCGTGGATGTAATTTATTTGTTAACTCTTTGAACGCGGAGCCAGTTCGACGTACGGGCGAGATTCGTCTGACCGGGCAGGCGATATTGGACCGAACGTCGGCCGCCTCTTGGCGCTCTTAGGAGCGAAAAGGTTAAATATTACGCGATACATTCGGTTTACGTAAACTGAAATTCACGTTCGGCAGCTCTGTATCAAGTCTCCGCACGAGTTTACTACCGACGATGACGTTAATTTCGACCTAGATAGAGGTTGTTGAAACAAAACACCTATCTGTTCGCTTTGGCGTAAACAAGCACGGATGTGTGCGCCAATGTTATTAGGAGCGACCTCCGCCACTGATAACTGCGAAATAATTATTGCAAAACTCATTCTTCCTCTCTCGTTCAACTGTAAATATAACAAAACTCACGTGATGTTCATTATCCACGGAATTAAATAATTACACAATTATATAACGAACGACACGCGTCGTTCCAATCAGAAGTTTGATTACCTTCTTACGGATTATCAATTTACAACAATAATGGTATTTTTATCCGAATGTTTCTTGCATAATACACACTCTGACATATCATTTTATTACTTATTTCCTGCTAAACCACGAAAGAAATATTCCCCTGGGAATTTTCATTGTAAAAATATTATTGTTAAGGCTTCGGGAGTGTTATTTTTAAGGTTACGATCGGTTAATGAACTTTACGTTATTTTTACAACGGGTGGTTATTTTTTTATGAAATTTTCTGTAATGATACATTTGGTCCTTTTATGTTTCTGCACTTTTGGGCGTGTTTACTGCACTTTGGGCGTGTCTACTGCACTTTTGGGCGTGTTTACTGCACTTTTGGGCGTGTTTACTGCACTTTTGGGCGTGTCTTCTGCACTTTTGGGCGTGTTTTTTGTACTTTTTTCCATTCTTTGTTAGCAGTGACGAGGGAATATTCCAATGACCGTGAAAGAAGCTCTCTGGGAAGACCTTGATGTGATATTATTAGCACCAAGGCGTCGAGCACTCGCTAAATCGGAATAGTACAAGTTCGATTCGAACACGCATGTACTGCATGCAACTAAAAGATGCATTGTCTCTGTCTTCTCTAATTAACATATCAAGTCCCAAGTGACGACGAGCTTTGGCATGTATCATTTACTCCCCTAAATACATTTACCAGTATTTACATTTTAACTACTACTATAATTGCAATTTATTAAACGAGTCATGAGGCATTGCGCACTCGATAAATCGGAGTGGAACAACAATTTTCACTCTTGCGTGGATTTAACGTGTGCAAGAGAGATATGCACTGTCTCTGTCTTGTCTCATTAGCATATCCAATCGGTTTTGTAGGCGTCGACGAGCTTCCATTTACATACATAATGTTTAAATTCCCAGGTCAATTTTACGGCTGACTTCATTTAGTTGACCATTGAACGAGTCATGAGACATATCTTATCGCGGTAAATATATTTAATCGCGGTTATTAAACCGAACGTGCGAGGTCGATACGAAATTTCCGTAACGGATTTACAAGGTTGATAATAAGCGTTATCGATGACTAAATTATAATCACTACCGTCGCGTATCGACCTTCGCATGACAAAACGAAATCCATGACTAATGCCGTGTTTATCATTCCACCGAGACGTAGAAACGAGTAATGTTAATTTAAACATTCGAGCTGTACCTCAAGTTTGTCGCTAACCAACAATACGTGAAATAAATTCCCCGGCCTAGTTGCAAAATCCTTTGTCAGGATTTTACGACTTTTCCGGGAGAAAGTGTAATGTCTTTTGACAATTCCTGAAATCCTAGGAGCTTTTAACAAGGGTCCCATTAATAAACAATCCCCCCAGGATACGGCAAAATCTAGGAAAAGAACTCCAGGTCGCGTCTCCTGGGATTCTCTCCCGGGTTGTTAAACACAGGGGGTAAATATTAATTGAATTCGAGGGAAGGGGGATTAAACGAGTAATTAAATGACGATTCGACATCGGGAGAAACAAAGCCTCGTCAAGCCCGGCGGCGTCCCACGTCCATCAGCGTGGCGTCGGCAACACCATCGCCATCGCCCTCGACTCCTGAACACACTGTTGGTTCCCCACGTATGTGTTTCCCCCGTACTTCCATGGTATCTGTAGTTAGTCGGAGATGGGACGAATCCCTCTCCAAGCCATGAGTCAGATCCCGCAGTGACCGAGCTCGATGTGATAGCAGTGGACGTCGGTCTTACGAAATCCCGGCCCCACAAAGAGCGACCAGGCCACGAGTAGCCAGCCCGTTGATCCCAGGGCCTTCGAATCTCCTCCTAGCCGTGGAAGTTCATGGCCAGTCGATAGATCTCTGAATAGAGGACCTGAGACTCCCAGACGACACCGTTAAGGGCTTGGCCAGAGCGGTATAGTGGGAACTAGGGTCCAGGAAGGTGTGTGGCTGATCAGGTTCCTTTAGTCTGGGAGCTGGGTCGACCTGTTGGATTATACAAGGCTGGGGAGAGTTCCACCTGAACGAGTTCCAGGAGAAACATTGGAAGTTGAAGCAAGGAGTGTCTCGATTTGGGAAGTTGAAGCAAGGAGTCCCTCGATTAAGGGCTTGGCCAGAGCGGTATAGTGGGAACTAGGGTCCAGGAAGGTGTGTGGCTGATCAGGTTCCTTTACTCTGGGAGCTAGGTCGACCTGTTGGATTATACAAGGCTGGGGAGAGTTCCACCTGGACGAGTTCCACGAGAAACCTTGAAAGTTGAAGCAAGGAGTCCCTCGAATTGGGAGCTGATAGCAACGTCTGACCAAGACCAGTGTTGGTGGTCCCCTGAATCTGGGTTCCTGGTCCAGTTCCCAAGTAGAGTCCGTGAATTCCTGAAAAGGTGCGGCAAGAACCATCGGGAACGGCCGGCGATCCCCAGATTAGGAAGGAGTCTGGCACCAACAGTGGGGAAGCCCGCGGAGGGTCCGTTGCTCCCGGCGCCGTCGGAGCAGGAGGGCTCGGTTCACGGCCAGTCGGTTAATCTCCGAATATAGTCGAGTCCGTGGGTTCTGGCAGAGCGGGAACCAAGAGGCGGCCTACTTTCGCTCCTACTCTCCGACTCGAGACACGTGGCCAGGGCGTGGAGTGGAGGAGCGGTGGGAAGGCGTCAGTTCGCCAGCTGCGAGGCGAGGAAGAGAGCTTCAGTCCAGCAGTGAAGGCGTCCACCGTCGCACCAAGACTTCAGACATGGGCCTGCGGATTCTGGTGAAGGTGTGCAAGGTGGGGACTCTGCAGCGTTCCCTGGCCGAACGGGGGGCACAATGGATGCTTTGCCAGCGGAATTTCTCCTCGACTAAGTCCAGGCAGACCCTGAAGCAGTCACCAAACGCTGTGCTGGACAAGACCCTGTTGAATAGGTACCTTGCCCTACCCCAGCCCAGCGAGAAAGTGCAGGCCAAGTACATATGGATCGATGGCACCGGGGAAGGACTTCGCTGCAAGACCAGGACCCTCGACTTTGTGCCGAAGAGCCCCAAGGAACTGCCCAAGTGGACGTATGATGGGAGCTCTACCTATCAGGCCGAAGGTGGTGATAGCGACATCTTCTTGTACCCTGTCGCCTTGTACCCTGATCCCTTCCGCGGGGGCAACAATAAACTCGTGCTTTGCGACACTTATCACAGCGATAAGACCCCTACTAAGTCCAATAAGAGGTTCAAGGCTAATGAGGGGATGGAGAAGGTTAAGGATGTGGAACCTTGGTTTGGGATTGAACAGGAGTACACGTTCCTGGATTTTGATGGCAGACCTTTCGGCTGGCCCAAAAATGGATTCCCTGGGCCCCAGGGGCCCTATTATTGTGCAGTTGGGGCGGATAAGGTGATTGTTAATGAAAATTTATTTAACGTGTCCTCGAGGAAAATCTCAATTATGTTCAGGAGGGAATTCTTCTTGACACTTGTTAACAATATTTGCATACGGGAAATGGACAGTTAGAACTTGAAGCGATGAAATCGGTCACTTCTCTGCCGCGGAAAATTTCCAAAAATCGGATACACCTTTGATTAATTTTTTCACTATTTTGACGGAATATTAATACATGCTTTGCTGCCAAGTGACAAATTAAAGACGGCTATTCTTCAAGGACAGAGTCGCCTGTCTTGTATGTTTAAAAATATTTCTAAACGTAGGTGTGAATTCATGTCTTCCGCGTTCCGCAAATACGTATTTACATAAACTAGTTATTTATAACCATGTCTTTGGTTTTTCTTTTAATGAAACTCCTTACCACGTGATAATACATATACGATTGTTTGGCACCAACACGATTTTCTTGGATTTTATTTCGACAGTTCGTTATTGTTTATAATTCACGCCAACGCGTTCTTCTCTCAGATAAATATTAACATTTAAAGAGAAATAAATATGAAAGAAATGAAAATNTAAAATATGAAAATTGACGTTTGTTTAATCATCATCCCCAGGTGACTGGTAGGGAGATCGTCGAGGCCCACTACAGGGCTTGCCTTTACGCGGGGATTAACATATCCGGGACCAACGCCGAGGTGATGCCCTCCCAGTGGGAGTTCCAGGTGGGTCCCAACCTGGGGATCAGCGCCTGCGACGACCTCTGGGTAGCCAGGTTCATCCTGCACCGCATCGCCGAGGAATACGGGGTAATCGTGACCCTGGACCCAAAACCCATAGACGGACCCTGGAACGGAGCCGGGGCCCACACGAATTTCTCGACGAAAGCCATGCGCGCGGAGAACGGCATCGTGGAGGTGAAAAAAGCGATTGAAAAGCTGAGCAAAACCCACAGCAAGCACATCGAGGCGTACGACCCGAGAGGAGGGAAAGACAACGAGCGACGTCTGACGGGAAAATGCGAAACGAGCAGCATCCACGACTTCAGCCACGGGGTGGCCAACAGGAACGTCAGCATCCGAATTCCCCGTGGAGTCGCCGAGGCCAACAAGGGATACCTAGAGGACAGGAGGCCCAGCAGCAACTGCGACCCCTACGCCGTCTGCGACGTCCTGATCCGCACCTGCGTCCTAAACGAGTAGAAAGTGGGGGGAAACCGTGATAACTGGTATCGTTCACGACTCCCCGACCTGGAACACGTGGAATTGGGAAGAACTGGTAATAAGGAGGAGAGAAAAGGGGCTTCGAAGTTGCGAGGTGGAGGAGGATGCTCCTGCGGCGGGCGCTGCCATGTTGGACGCCAGTGGCGGCCCCGGGAGGGGGGCGCAGCGTACTAGATGTTCAGTTTCTATGTTTCCCAGCCGTTTTTATATGTTTTCGCGAGGTTTTTCGGGTTATTGCCGATACTGTTGCGGCGAAGGTTCCTTCGTATTGTTTGTCGCGTGAGGATCGTCGACAAATTGGAGATAGCTCTATCGGTTTATGGGGGAATACGCCGGGGGCGACTGGTCGGCGTCAATGTTCAAAGCAATTTCAGGTTGAAACGTTCGATCGCGGATTTATAACGGAATTACTGCTCGTTGATTTTCCGGTTAACCTCCGCGCGAGCCCCCGATTCCGTGTAAATTAAGTTTTGCATATTGAAAGGGGGGGAAATTATTATTATTTTTTCTTTTCTGTTATCATCTTCATATTTTATTACGAGTTTCATGGGGATGTGAGGGTTAAGGCGATTTAAATTCAATTCAGATATTTTTTTTTGTCCTTATCTTCGCAATTTATAATCCAATGTGCAAGTAGATTTCATATTATATCGAATGTTAGACGCTCAGTACTTTAAGATGTTACTTAAGGAGTAATGCTTATCTCACTTACAGATAAAATATGTACCGAACGAATCGCTAGAATTTGACGATAAGGCCCTTATCCGAGCTTCAGTACTTCAGGAAAGATTTATGAAAGCAGACATTAATGATAAATGTTATATTTTTATTATATACTTTTTTAAGCCATTATAGTTACGGATATATTTTCTTACGCTACGTGTATTTTCTTTTTCTAGCTTGGGTATATTGTTCCCATTAAATGCAATTACTTTTTACGGTAAGCGGAATGGTGGAAAATTAATTATCTTGTTGATAAGAAATATCGATAAACGTGGGTCATAAAGGTTCTTTTTAATTGTTACAATTTATTATACGGAATCAAAGTGAAACGAATGATGGTAATTATATGCGTAGCTTCACGTTTTGTTTTTTATTTATTTTTTTTAATGACCTAATTGAAATGTTCATTTATTCTCACTTTCACTTTGAAGCGCTTGCAGTGTTATCACTCGGTGATAAAACTGTTATTTTCTTCTCCGCGTTATCATGTTTGCCGTAACCCGCCTTTCGATTACTGCAATCAGTCCCGGCATGTGTAAAGTATTAGATACGTAATGATAAACGTGAGTACAGCTGTTTACAGTATCTTTTATCAATACGGTCTACAAATAGCCTTCCTATTTCACGTAATCCACGTTTCGAAAATGTTCCCTTCTCGGCGCTAAACAATTTTCCAGGGGAATATATCGGTTAATTAATTGTCGGTTACTTGCCATCCTTTCAGTAATTAACGTAATTATATTTAGCTCCATATACTCTATCGTGGATTTAATATTACAAATCTGTCCCGTATCAGTAAATCTCGCGGAAAAAAGTGCAACTTCCCGAATAAAATAAATATTTCATAAATATATTGACTTCGTTCCGTATATATCAAACTTTCATATCACCTTAAACTTCCCACTAATAGGAGGAATATAAATATTTCATAAATATATTGACTTTTCCCTACGTATATATCAAACTTTCATATCACCTTAAACTTCCCGCTAATACAAGGAATATAAATATTTCATAAATATATTGACTTCGCTCCGTATATATCAAACTTTCATATCACCTTAAACTTCCCGCTAATACAAGGAATATAAATATTTAATAAATATTTTGACTTTTTCCTTCGTATATATCACACTTTCATATCACCCTAAACTTCCCGCTAATACAAGGAATATAAATATTTCATAAATATATTTTCCCTACGTATATATCAAACTTTCATATCACCTTAAACTTCCCGCTAATAGGTGGCGTTGCCGCGTTTCGGGTACTCAGAAGTTAGGTTAGGAGATCCCGCGGAAAGAGTGCAATTTCCCGAAGAGCCCCCGGGGGTGGAGGAGGTGTTAAACTTTAATCGGGGATTTCGTTTTTTGGCCTTAGTCCCCCCGTATGTCGGATTTGTTGCGCACGCTTTACGATCACGAGCACGTGGACACGCCAGGAAGTGCGACTGCAACATTCAATAAGGTAAAGTGCCGCAGTGCTTTAAAATGCACGCCGTGTCGCCTCCAGTGGACGTTTCCGCGCTGCAGTATCCTACTTGCCGTTGTAGTTAGCTAGTTTAGTGGCGTGTGTCTTAACGGAAAGGCCGGATGCGGAATAATTCCCGGTAGGGACGTGGAAATTAGCCAGGGAAATGTTTCTTTTTCCCGGACTTTTCCTTGACGACTAGCTCAACGCGCGCCGACCCCTACGACCGCGGAGCCACTTCGACATACGGGCGAAATTCCCCTGACCGTGCAGGCAATATTGGACCAAACGTCGGGCGCCTTTAGGCGCTCTTAGAGGGAAGGTATCCCAGGTCGACCTCTCCGATTTCATTTCTTTTATAATATGTTATAGTAGGCTAAAAACTAAGCGACACGTATTTTTTTTTTATCTGCCATTGAACGCTTTAAGAGGGTGAAAGTAGCAAACAAGTCTCATAGACCTCTTTGCTTAAGTGTTCCCAGTTTCTTTCTTCAATTTTATGGGGCCAAATACACAGCTCCCTGGCTTCGTGGTGCTTAAGTACAGAGTCGAAGAAACCACGGTAGAAAATTGCCCGGGGAACGATTTCGAAACCGGTTAATGGGAAAAGATTTCTCCTCGGAGCAGCTGGATGTAAATTCCGCAAAAACTGGAGCAGGTCTCGTAGACTCTGAATTACAAGATGAAAAGTCTTTTAATCCTTTATAGCAGGGAATAATAATATAATTACATGTAAATCGGTTATATTACTAGGGTAATACACGGTGTAAAAGTCCTACTTGGCGGATGCATGGAAAAAGAAACATGGCGGACGTCGAGTGCAGGTCCGCGTTGAAATTCAGGGTCAGAAATGGCTAAAAGTCGCGCAAGATTGCACCAATTGATGCAACCGAGGTAAAGTTCCGTATATTTCGCGTATTTAGGCCTGGGTTTCCCTCGAGGCGGTTATTTTCTCGGAAAAATACAGGCGAGGAACGGCTGTCTTCAGAAAGCAAGATGGCGGCGAGGCCGCCGTATGCATGAACGCACGGCCAGAATTCCCGAGGCCGACAGTAAAGTGTCGAGGTTACCGCCGTCAGGAAACTTTTGTTTAAAATTGGAATTCCTTTGCGGCTCGTTGGAACTAGGAATGCAGATAGGGAGAAGGCGACGAAGACCGGAGCCCCACCCGAGGGCGGGATATTGTTTCATCACAAAGGGAATCCACCTGGACGCCTAAGGAGATTTTAAGAAATCCCCTGGGACCCCCCACTACCGTTAAGCCAGCCATTGCATCGCTCTTTTGCCGGAGAATTCCCCTTTCGAATGAGAGTATTGCGTCTAGCGAGCGAGAAAAAGTCCAGGCAAGCTCTAGGGGCATTTTGCACGAGAGGGAAAGAGAGAAACTCATGCGGAATGCCATAAGAGCGAGCGAGACACATCATGGAAGGAAAGAAGTCGGGTGGAGACGGGTTTTGCTAATCCAGAGCCATCTCGACACGCGGACGGGTACTTGGTGGGGAAGGTTCCATCTTTTCCTACCGAATGCCGTTTTTAGGGGCTTTAGGACCCCCTGGGAATGGGATGTTACCATCACGACTCGGCTCGGGAGTATCGACGGGTATGGCAGGTTTCTTTCTACCTGAGACTCGGGATGTTATCGGTGGTTCTGCTTTACCGGCTCTTCCAGAGATGGCGCCACCGTGGTAGTTCCACAGCTCAGTTATGGAAGAAGTTACCGCAGGAGACTGCGTAGTTTCAAGTCGGGGGACGATAAAATTCTGAATGGTAAAACTAGAGATTCGGCAGAACTTTCCGCCGACAATAGGCTACAGCTTTAGTTACTTGTGCACTTGTACAATGGCGCCATTGCGGGTATACAGGGTGTTCCAGAATCTGCAGGAATTTCTGAAACTGGGCAGGTGGAAATTCCGGGCGAGGAAAAGAATTTTCCCTTACGCGATTTCATCGAATTAATAATCATTTTCGGAGTTATTCTCATGAAATTATTGGGGATTGATGAAATTAAAACTTGAAGCTTCCTTTTAGACATTTCCCTCAAGTGACATCGCTCCGAAATTAATTTTCCGCGTTATGAACGACTGTTCAAAAAGTCCAGGAAGTTTCGCCTTGAGATTTCATCTTCTTGGGTCACTTCGAGACTAGAAATTCGCATCGGGCCTTCCCATGTCGAAAATGTATCTCCCTCGGACATTCCGTATCAAATTTCCTCATTAGCCGGCGCATTTTCCAGCCCGAAGGGATACCATTATACCGTAGAACCAGTAACGAGGCCGTTAGTTTTGAAAATAGTTGACCGAAGTAATGCGCGCTCAAGCCGACCGGAAGATGGACACCATTATGATGGGAAATCGTTAGCCAGCGGCATTGTAACGTTCGGTATAAAATAATCCGGTAAACAAGACAACTTTTCTCGAGTGGGGAAAGTTGTTAACAGGCCAGGCTGTTAGGATTTCCAGGGGGCTTTGAAAGTTGGTCAGTAGGGTCGAGTGTTTAACATTTCCTCGGTGTAAATTCCCCCCGTCAAGAGCCGAAGGGTCATGGCGTTGGATTTAGGTTGTTGGCCAATGTTGGTGCCCGGCCAAAGTTGACAATTAGGAGAGACCTACTCGAGCACCCTCGGTAATTTTGAGGGATTACATAATTATCGCTCGAACGTGCCCGCAAGAGTTGGAGATTCTCTAGCTGGCCCTCCGAAATTCCGGATTTTGCGGAAACCCGCTCCGGATGAGACGCTTTGCAGGGGATGAAAAATGTAATGCGAATCTGAGAAATGTTCCTTTGAGTGGGACCCAAGGGATGTTTCGGATATACAAAGAATCATACGCGGGGAAAAAAGTTAGGGGACATAATGGAAATACCACACAACATCCTGCGATCAGACCCTTCCAAAGGAACGTCCTCTGAAATTCTGGATTTTGCGGAAATCCGCCCTGGAAGAGACGCTTTGCAAGGGATGAAAAATGTTCCCTTGAGTGGGACCCAAGAGATGTTTCGGAAATACAAAGAATGATACGCGGGGAAAAAAGTTAGGGGACATAATGGAAATACCACACAACATCCTGCGATCAGACCCTTCCAAAGGAACGTCAGGAAGAGTTCAGGAAATTCGTTTAGATCAACGATTTAATAGTTTCTTTTCCCAATCGAATAATTGTTTCTTGCAATTATACATTCGGGCAAGAATATGTATTTCTTTTAGTCAACTGATACTTTCTTCTTTCGGTGCAATGGAAGACCAAGACCAAGATTGTCGACTGAGTAATACCAAGATCCTGCTGGCCTCGATTTTTCTCCTGCATCTGGTCATCATTGAATCGAAGCTGCAACCCCAAGGAGCGCGAAATTTGGCGTGAAATAACCCCATGGAAGCCAAAAAACAATGGAAGGAAAACGTAAGGCCGCGCAAACGGAGATGCTCTCGAGACAAACAGCCCCGAGCTCGCTGCAACATATTTCCGGACACTAACATAAGATGGTCTACGGGGATGTATCATGTGGACTGCATGGTTGCAGGTGCAGCTGAAGACGAGGGTCGACTTGCGAGGGGATAAAGGAGGGTGCCTGCTGTGGAGCGGAGCTTTAACGTAAAGGATCGATTTTGCGGAACACATCGATGGCTCCATCCATTACTCGGGATTCCGAGGCCCCAAGAGGCATTAAGAATAAAATAACTCGAGGTAACACGGCCACAAATCTTGGGATCGCCTTTACGTTCAATTACGGACCCCTAATTAGGTACCTGCGTGTCAATTTCACGCCCCGATCAAAGTCAAAGAAGACTCACCCTTTGAAGCTCCTGGTGGTCCGGTCTGCAATGGTCCTGAAACAAAAGGAGCTGATCAATAACCCATAAGCCATGAAATTAGTTGTACAATGCATGTGTACGTGGCCTTGGACTGCCGAGGCGTAAATTATAAAGACCGCGATCTTCTTTATAAAGGATAGCATCGCTACCATAGACGAAAAAAATTCCTCACTTAGAGGGGACGTGGTCCAGAGGGACCAATAGTGGAATTTGGATTCGGCAGAGTGGCAGGCGGATGTTCAGACCATTCGGCACTCCGAACAAGGTTTCTTTCTCACTTTGACATGCCAATACATGTTTTAGATCCGACAGTTCGAATGAAATTTACATGGAGCAAGAGAATCCTCTCGGCCCAAATGCGTTTTACTTGTGCGTGACAAATCGTAACATCTTCTCCCATCAAGTAGACCACTTGGAAGAGGATGCAAGAACATCAACAGGAAAGAGAAGGAACAAAGTCATCAGCAATATTTCAAAGTCTTCGGCAGGCAAAGCGACTTGGGTGTAATTTTGGTTCCTTGGTTGGTACGATCCTTATCAAGGGTTGCGCTTGCTCCATCAGGGGCACTTC